GCACTAAGTGAAGTTTGGCCCTGCTGAAATCCCTGATGACCACGGCCTGAAGAGGCCCCACTGTACTCTGGACGACCTGACTAAGGAGGCCTGAAGGTACGGCCTCTGCCACGCTGGAACTGGCCCCTAGACGGAGCACCACTGAAACTACCTGAACTTCGAGGCCTCTTTGCCTCTCTCTCCTCACGCTCCCGACGGCGAACCGTCTCAATCTCTCGAGCCATGTCAACTACCTCCTCAAACGAAGCACCCATAACCCTCTCTCTGGTCATCAAAATGCGGAGTGAATAGTTGAGGCCATCCACGAACCTCCTAATCCTTTCCCGATCTGTCGGGATCATCCAAGTGGCATGCCGAGCTAGCTGCGTGAATCTCAACTCGTACTGGGTCACAGACATGTCCCCCTGAACCAACCACTCGAACTGACGACGCAGCTCCTCCCTGTGAGACTGCGGTACGTACTTCTCCAGAAAGAGAGTGGAGAACTGCTGCCATGTAAGGGGCGCTGCACCAACCGGCCTACGCCTCTCGAAGTCCTCCCACCAGGTGAATGCAGACCCTGAGAACTGGAAAGTAGTAAAAGCCACACCACTCGACTCTAAGATCCCTGCGGTGCGAAGCATACGCTGACACTTATCCAGAAAACCCTGGGCATCCTCGCCCTCAGCACCGCTGAACGTCGGAGGCTGAAGCCTGCCGAATCTCTCAAGACGACGCTGCTCATCGTCCGGCATAGCTGGAACCTCATAGGCTGGAACTGGTGCAACTGGAGCAACTGGCAGAGCTATGGCTGCTTCCGGTGTCTGAAATCCCTGGGCAACCTGCTCAGGTGTGTGAGCAACAGGGGTTTGTACTAAGTATAAGTGTATTAGGTAATGTTATATCGAATATATATATATATATATATATATATATATATATATATATATATATAAAAAATTTTAAANACGCACAAGTCAATATACCTGAAATGAAGCTGTTCATGACTTCCAACTGCTGAACGACGCGCTAGAGCTCAAAACGACCGATCGGGTCGTTACATTTATTTAGTAAATACAAAAGTGATTTTTAATTTTGACCAATGTTGACCTAAATAGCGACCAACTTTGGTCGCTAAATATACATAATTTTAAATTAGCGACCCAAGTTGGACGCTAAATTTAAATCAGATTTATTTATCTTTCATATAATATTTAAAATATTAACTGGGTCCCAGATTAGCGACCAAAGTTGGTCTATATTCTACTGAGCGACCAACATTGGTCGCTAAAGTTGAATTATATTTATTTATATTTTATAATTTTTTTAAACAAAATTATAATTATTAAAATTTTATAACTGGGTCCCAAATTATCGATCAAAGTTGGCCTCCATCTGATTACTCTTTATGTAGCGACCAACCTTGGTCGCTAATTTTAAATTTTATTTATTTATATTTTATAATTATTAAAATTTAATAAGTGGGTCCGATAAAGCGACCAACGTTGGTCGCTAATCTGAGTAATTCTTTGACCAAGCAAGTCTGACCAGTCCGGTCAACAGTTTGACAAACTTTTCGACCAATTTGCGACCAATGTTGGTCGCTAATTTATTTAAAATTATTATTTTATTATTTTTACCAGTTTAGCGACCAACCTTGGTCGTTTTTTTTTTTTGACAGACCAACTTTGGTCGCTAAAGTTTGGTCGCTTTTTGCAGGAATTCTAGTAGTGAATTGAGCTAGTTTGCACAGACCGAAGAGAAAAAGGTCGGGGGGAAAAGAGGAGTGTACCATGATAGAAGCAAGGAGGTCACATGCAACATGGATCGCAACTCAACTAATGTCACGAGGTATTTGCTACCGACCACCAGCACAAATACCGTCTAACTTATTTGGATAATAATAGCAATATTTTTTTTATTAGATTTTACGATTATATTTTTTAGTTGAAAAGTCTCAGAAAAGTTCTTCACCCAAAAAAAAACTTTGATTTTTTTTTCTATAAAACTTTAAAAAGTAGTTTTTTTTTTGGGTTGTAAAAAATTGTTTTCGGCAGAGCATCTCTAATTTGACTACTTCTCTCAAGGACCACTGACGAAACCATAGTTTTAGGAGTATTAATCATAATCTTTGTCTCCACTTTGGTTGTTAATTAATTGTTATATTCATTAATCACACACCCAATACTACATCTTTTTAAGGATTAAGGGACCTTGATTTTGACATTAAAATCTAATTCAGTCTGTTTATGGGCCAACTGGCCCCTCCACCTACATGAGTAATTAGTGTCTCAAGAAGAAACTTTCATTGTGTTTCTTGTTTATTACTTAACCACGTGAGGTCACTATTACTGCTTAAACTCCGGGACCAGAGGCGGATTCAGAATTTAAAATCTTATGGGTTCAACTTTCAAGGTTTTTAGTATTGATAACCCATTATATTTTTTAAAGTTATGAGTTCATATCTGCTATTTTTGCAATTTTAATGAATTTTTACATATGAATTTTTACCCCGCGTCGAAAGTTATGGGTTCATTTGAACCCATCGGAACAACACTACATTCGCCCCTGTCCACAACCAATCATTATTTTTTATGTAATTGTATAATGGTGTAAATACAAAACTTCTACCCCGTTATATAATAGTTTTATTGTTTGACATTAGTGGCGAAGCCAAAAATTCTAAATAGAAAAGTTTAAAAATTGTAGATTTGCACAGATAGTAAATGCATAATTTATATAATTATACCTATAAAAAAAATTGTCTTTACCTATTTGTACAGTGGAACTCTTTGGCAAATAAGATATAATTGACCACTTTAATAAATCATGTTCAGACACAAGAGAAAATTCTTAAAATGGACGAGAATATATATATTGTTCATCATATAAGCTAACAGTCAAAAGATTATAACAAATTTTACTTTACTACTATTTAGAAGCGGGAGTTAAGGGCTTGTTCGTCGTCCTGCTTGCTGTCCAAAAGGGTAATTTCGGAATTTTATCCAGCAGAAGAATCGTCTTTAACTTCAGGTTGGACTCTTCGTCTTCCTGCTTCCGATTTACAGTTAGGTCCCTTTTTTGGATCAAAAGTCGGGGTATTTTTGTCACTCTGCTCAGTTTGTATTTTCTGTAGCAGTCTTTTCAGTTTGCCCGCTCTCCGATACGCGCCTTTTCCATCGACGTGGAAGACAAACCAGTTCTTGCTTCTGCTGTTGTCAGCTGTTTCTCCAGATGTGTAACACCTGTATTTGGATGGATATCCGATTAGGGGTCACGCTAATAATATCTGCAACAGCTTCTGTTCTGCTTTGGGTTTTCTGGCTTACTGCTCTGTTCCTTTTGGTGTCTCTGCTTGCTGGCTGGAATAGGTGAGTACTTCTGGCTTTGTTTCCTTTTAATTTAAAGTGCTCTCTTACGTGATAGACTCTTCTCGATTGATTTTCATTCGTTAAGTTAGCACTTTAGACCTTTCCTTGAACCGTAAGAGTGTCATTTCATACTTATCCTTCCACGATTGACAGATTATCAAAAGCATATTGTTTTCCTTGTGTTAACTGATCAGATATGCTTTTACTTAGTAAGCTGAAGGATTAAATGTAGACGTTTTCTCTAACGTAGTAAACTTTGACTTTTACAACTGTCAGATTATTGAAATCATGGTATTGTCCTTGAAACGTTTTACGTAATTGGCTAATGATAATACGAGTAACTAATATGTCAATGTCCTTTGGTAATCATACATTGTATCCAAGTTATTATTCACCCTGCTAATTTGCAATCCTTTGAAGTTCATTTTATTAACTACCCTGTTGCAAACCTTTTGACTGCTACACCACGCATTTTCCATGTAATACCAACTCTCAGTTAACTAATGTATACATCATTTTAATTTTTCTGTTTACCAAGAAATTTTTTAACTCTCTACCCGCATGGAATACGAACGACACTTCGTAACATGTCTATTTGATGTCGTCCATAGGGAACTATTAACTTGCTTTCTCTACTATTACTACTGAACTATTAGTGAGACTAAGAACAAAATATCGTCAATCGCATTCAAAGTTGTTTCGAGCAGTATCAAGATTTCACAAACCACTTTGGTTATACTATTATTCTTCCATCGTTTTGTCCAAATTTTCATGTTCTCAAGAACGTGTGTTTAGTTATCCCTTGCCCCCTAAATTCCAATTGACAAGTAGAAGAAAAGAGAAAACAACTGGTGGAAGCTTGAGATGGTGGCGTCATAAGAAAGGTAGCTAAAAGTGGTGGCAGCTTCACCTTGGCCTCATAACAGAAGTATCTAAAACTTTTAGAATTTCTGGGGTGGTCACAAAAAGTATCCCGACTCAGTTTCTTCTCTCATTTAAATGTTTTAGACGTATATGATTACTTTACATATTTTGCGGTGCAATACAGTGGATTCTCTTTACTTTTGCTGCATGAGATGTACATCTAAGAAAGGGGAGTTCAACTACACATTCTTTAGTTCAAAGAGAGATGCTGACTTTATGTCAATGATATAAAATAATTTTAGTTACGCTTTATGACTGACTATATTTTTCCTCCCACCCCTTTTTTTTGGTAGCGCTCTACAAATTCCAATTCCTGTATAGATTAGTTATCAATTGTATTTCATGAGTTTGCGGCTGCTCATACTGTACTTGTTTACTATTTTAATATTTCAGTATTTCGCATCTGTATGTCTCCATGTGTCTATATGGATACACTTCTGCAAAGGTAATTGAGTAACTCATCATTCTATTAAACTGCAGGAAGAGCAAGTAGCCGCTGTTCTGTACGGGGAAGACATAGAAAAGTATACAGACAAGCTCACCCCGTTTTCCACTTACTTGATATCTACTGCAAAAGTGAGGGTTTCTACCCTACGGAGTGCCTATCAGCCGTTTTGAATAGGTTATTGACAAATTCACTGTTGTCGAAGAGGTGAAAGATGACAACATACAAGACCCACTGCTCCCGCCGCCGACGAGGTTGAATACTGTACCCTTTGCATATTTGCACGAGCAGCAACGAAATATGGAATTTGGTAATCATTATTTAACGCGTAGTATACTCTAACAATTAAAATTTATTTGTATCCTTACACTCTGACACTGTGTACATTGATCTAAATTATAACTCATTTGCAACGTCCACTAAACAGATATAGTTGCCGTTGTGGTGAATTGTGGCTCCATAAAGTATGTTGGCGCTAACAGTAGCAAATGTCGTGAAGTCATCGTAATGGATACCAAGTAAGTCTGCTAGCACTCTATTTACTTTATTGTTGTCGCAACTACTTGTAAAAAAATTGGCTACAATGTCGTCTTATTCACTTGATTACTTCGGCTAGATACCTTCAATTAAGAAGTTATAATGTCATGAGATTATAATCTCAGCCATCTCCTCATCAATGTCACCTTCTTCGACTAAAGCTGGCAAGAAGAAATTTCTCCAGACTCATTTATTGCATCTTCAGTTTGATCTATGACACTTGTCTTACCGTTTTATTCAACAAATTTTATCTTTCTACGAATAGAACAAGGCATAAGATCTCCAAAAACAAATTGTATAAGCTTTCAGTCATAATACAGCTTTCTCTTCGTCCTGACATTTTGAGCTACAACATTTCAGCGATTACCATGGTTTTGTACAATTTTTTTTTGTATATTGGCCTTGGTAAAATCCAATACTACTCACGAAAAAAGAAGTGCAACGAAGTCTGAAATGTGTTTAGCACTGTTTTTTTAATATGTCCATTACTGCCTTTTTTTAATGTATACATTGACTGCTATCATCTGACACATCTTAGTCAAGAAGACTTAATTAGTAAGTGGGAGATCAATATTTCTCATCTTCTACTGCCCGCGTCAT